GGGTGAAGAGCTAATTGTCCAACACGCAGCATGACTCTGCTAACGATCTGAATCAAGAATGCGTTAGATGTTTAAATTTGTGCTTAAATTGCAAACAGGAGTGACACATATTTAATGATCTGTTTTATTCTTTGGAATTTGTATAAGTTTTCGATACGATGGTGGTTATTATTGTTTTAGGATTCAAGGTTGAGATCATGCAGAAAACAAAATTATTTTTAAAGCAAATGTAGCTGAGATCAACATGAATGTCCCGGCCTCCATAAAACCTTCATGTAAACATTAATTTCGTAATTATGTTCAGCATACTCAAATATTCTAAAATTTTGTCTTTTTAATTAAATAACATTATTGTTCCTTGTACAAATTATTTGCTGTTATCGAGAATGTCATCACTTGAGGTTTGTTATGAGTAGTAAACTCAAGACGAGTGAACCCTAATGTGTGAAGGGAAGAGAGATTGTAATCCACCCAACCGGTGGCCATGAAGGTACAAGTCAGTCAGTTTGGGCAAGTCACGCACAGCCGAGGCAATGTGTTCAATGTCTGTAAGCTGAAGTTCGCAGTTAGTTAATTGAAGTTTGTTGAGGCTTGTCAAGTGTTTGATATGAGGGGCCCACTCTACAGCTCTACCTCCCAGTGTATCGCAACCCTCTATCTCAAGACTGGTCAAGTGTTGGCTGTATATCGACAACAGGGTTTTCTCAAGATCGCCCTTCACTAAAGGACATTTGTCAAGCCTCAGAGCCCTGAGGTTTTCCATGTAGCCAAGGGCGAAGGCTACATCACTGACTGAAAACACCGAAGAAACCTGAACAGTTTCAACGCGTGCCAGTTGGCTGTCTGACCTACAGATGATTTCAAGAAGGTACATGAGACTGCAGAAATAATTTTTGTTGCGTACATCGATAGTTGTTGGGATATTTGAGTCGCTGGTAAGACATCGTAGGGCCTTTTTTTTTGGCCTGGCTTTCAACAAAGCAGTTTCTACTGACTGCATGTACTACATTTGAATGGTATCTGGGTTCATCCTTACTGAACTCATGGTCAAGCAAATTTACAATGAGTGATAGACACGACAAAATTTAAAAACAAATCATTTGAAACGACGCCCTCAATTGTTGGCAAGTTGCATTGAACTGTTTTGAAACTTTTTGAATGGTACAACTCTGTACACCTAACGCAAAGTGGCGGTGCTATAAAGGGGGGAATGGGGGGCATTTGCCCCCCCCCCCCCCAGTTCCCCCCCTCTCAATTTTTTTTTAAACAAGTAGATTAATTGTGTTTATTTTTTCGCTGTTCAGTTGCATGACAAGTTGAAGATCATCGGTTCTGTGGACACATTTTGGGCCAATGAATGCATGAACATTGGTACTTTGGTGAACAAGGCACGCCACACATGCATTTATACAGCCTTAGATAGTGTGCAGCCAACGTTTTTGTACATTTGTTATACATCATTCTGTGGTATGATACATTTCTGATTCATAAAAACAACCACACTTCTAAGTTGCTCTAGTGGCTTATTTCCGGACCATTGACAATGGGCACGCGCGCACGTACAGGATCACTTGTGTGAAGCATGTGTCCGTTTCCAGTCTGGGTAAGTTAATTGGAGAAAAAAAACCTAGTAATAAAGACGTTATTCTGATGTGATGGTGGGTCTTCATTTACACATGCTATTTCCTTACTTTCCCCTTATATTTTGGATATCATCAGATTTTATTTTGACTGCCCCCCAAAATTTTTTTAGAGTCTGGCACCACCACTGATACGCTTTAAAATTGCATCTTTCGACAAATCTCCACACTTTATCTGCAAGTATTTCATTACACAGTATTCCTGCATTTTGTTGTGCATGAATTGTATGTTCCTGTGGGATCTGCGGTTTCTGAGCTGCTTGGTTAGAATGCCCGCTTTTAGTGCCAGGTCCAGCGCAATCGGTTCAAACTCATCTTCTTGAAATGAGAATTTCTGGTTGGCACTCTTGAGTCCAGGCAGCGCAGTTTGTCCTAAGGAAATCACTGTTTTTGAACCATCTTCTCCTGAGATATGTTTTCTTGTGAACATGTAATTCACTGCCTCAGTGAAGAGGCGTGAAGTTGTGTTAGGGAGTTGTTTACTCTCTCTCCACAATAAACACATAAGGAGGAGCAACATAGGATTTGTAGCAAACTCCTGTAATGTGTTGGACTCTCCAATGGTTTGGATTAGTGCATTGCCACTATCAGGATCGTTGTCATGGAATTTCTGAACATATTCATGAACATTCTCGTCAGTAAACCCCAGAACCTCTACATATGTGCAAGGATTTTGGACAAGTGATTCTGACATCAGTGTATCAAGATGAGAGGGGCGTGTTGATACACAAATTACACATTTCCGGTACTGTGTTCTATTGAGTGCTTTTAGAATAGAACCGAATGAGACTTCATCAAGTGTTTTGGTCCTTATTTCATCAAAACCATCCAAAAGAATCAAGACCTCATTTGGGTTGGCCAGGATGAATTTATCGAGTTCATGTTTTGCTATTCCTAAATCTTCGCCTAAAATTTGATCGAAAGTGGAGTCAACAAGATTGGATTCTTGCGAGAGGGCACACATCTTTAAAAGAAAGACAAGCTTGAATCCGTTTAGGACTTCGCTTGTTTCAACGGCCCAGTCAAATGCAATCTTATCAAAAATGGTTGACTTTCCCGCCCCTGCCATTCCAAAGAAAATGAAGCGTGTTATGAGCTCCCCAGTTTTTGTCCTTAATCTGAATATTTTTGCATACTCTGTTGAGTTTACAGTTTCTCCTTTCTGGCCAGTCACTGCTACCCCTTCCCGAGTTTCTAACTGTACTTTAGTGTATATACCAGCTATGTGCATTTGGTCATTATCAACCCCAAGCAACAACTGCACGTAACTGCCTGTTGTTCTGTAAAAAATTTTCAACATGTCCCTAGTCTTGTTACCAGCTTCTTGGTAGCTAGGAGCCCCCAGACTTGGTTCTTGGCCTGGTCTCTGACTATGCCGAGGTCTGGGTGCAGGCACTCCTGTTCAGATCAAAACAACTAACATGTTTTGCTTCAATTAAACAAATTTTCTGAAACTGATTGAATAGTCTTCTTCTATGAACAACATGTATCCAGAGTGATGGCTTTGGATATCCAGCTCGTTAACAGTCTACAAAATAAATGCCCACCCCCCTTCCCAAACAAAATGAATATTTCGGCTTTTGTACAGTTGTAAGACATATGTTCCCTTTTGGTCAATTTACTTTTTTTTACACCGCCAAAAATGTTTGAAGAAGAAAATATCTGGAAGGAGAGGCATACAAAACCGCTTTAAATCAAAAGCAGCACCCTTCTGTGCTAAAACTGCATATATCAGTGGCATCCTATAACCACCCATTTTTTTTCAGAACAATAAATTTTATTCCATCCCTTCCCAAAATAGAAAGAAGAGGTGGCGGGGAAAAACAAATCTGTCATTATTTATAACTTGCACTGTATCACAATTTTTTTGTACCACATGCATATTGCGTCAATAGCGATCTGTCAAAATTTCATTTTCTGAACTACAGGGTGTCTCCACCCCCCCCAGAAAAAAAACCCGAACCCTCAAAGCCCCTCTTTTTCACAGTATAGTTCATTAGCTTTTCAACAACAAAAAATCTTTCCTATGGGATAAAATGTTTACTGAGGTATGGCCAATTCTAAAGAAGGGCAAAGTTTTCATTTTGTCCACGGTTTTAATTGTCATTTATTAGGAATGTGATGGATTTGGGGTGAGGGTAGTTTTGTTTTCTTTAATTTTTTTTATCTTTCTTTCTTTATCTGGGTCTTTTCTAAATTTTCATTTTGTGCAACAATGGTCATTCCTCCTTAGATGTTTACTTTGCTGGTCTGCCGTATCTTTTTTTTTCTTTTTCTGCATCTACTTGGTTGCCTATTTCACGAATGCAAGTTTCGGCCAGAGTTCTCATTGCGCCAGTCAAATATTAGTTGCAGTGGACAAAATGAAAAGGCGGTACTTGGTTTCAATTGGCCATAACAAAATAAATATTTACCCGATTGGAAAGATTTTGTTGTTGAAACGCTAATGAAGTATACTCTTTTTTAATATGTATCGATATTTACACATTTTTTTTTCTCAAAAGCTATGAAAAAGAGGGGGCTTTGAGGGTTCGTCATTTTAGGGACACCATGTATTTTGCATGGTCCTTTTCTAGAATTTGTGTTCTAAAGAATTCCTTTCCTTATATTTTTAGAATATTATTCCTGCCACCTAGTGCGCCAAGCTAACTTATTACTAAATTGAAAAAGAATAAAACTGCTGCAAACTGCTCACTGACTGGATTGACCTTTAAAATACAATTAAAAACATTTAGAAAGGCCTGATATCTTTTCACCTGAGCAAGGACTTCTTCAGAGGCAAATGAAAAGTAGGGGACATGCACACAGGCAGGGCTGGAAGGAAACACAGTGTCAGTTAAGATCAAAGGGGATAAGGGAACAAAGGAGTGTGGTGGGAGAGGAACAAAAACGGTTAGAAGGAAGGAATGATGCGGGGGGGGGGGGGAGGGACAGAGTAATGAATGCGGCATTAGTGAGAATAAGGGAAAAGGTTGTAATCATTAATTATGGGGACAGGGGTGGAACAATACGAATATATCAGGCCACTCTATGTTTTTGATTTATTAATAAATCAAAAACCACCCACTCCACCATGGGCAGTGGGGAAAAAAAAAATCATATTTACCAAACAGCTCACGTTACCAACTTTAAAATCTGCCACTAAATAAAGGGGTGAGGTGGGCTTGTTTGCCCCTATACCTTCCCTAAACAGGTCATAAATTGACCATTAGCAACTGATCTAGCAACGTTTTGCCAAATAGCTTAAGTTAACAGTGGTCTAGCATTGTTAAGATATCAATACCTGAAACTTGTGTGAAAATTGGTGAGGGACTTGGGCTAGTTGGCTGGGCATTTGATGAAGACGTGGCGATGTCCCCTTGTCCAGTAGCAGCTTTTATGTCTGCACTCTTGACTTTACCTGGAGCATCAACAGTAGGCTTCTTGCTTCCATCGACTCTTTGGTTGGTTTCTGTGGCTTCAGCTCCTTCAGGGGAATCTACATCAGAAGCATGATTTAAATCATACTGAAATGGGGGCTGACAAAATGACATGCTCAATGTCATCTCTGGTGCTTGGAAAGTTTTACCTTTGTATGAAGTAAAAAAAACGCTAAAAAAAATACTCGCTATAATCTGTTCAGTTATCAATACCTGAAGCTTGTGTGGAAGGAATCGTTGAGGGACTTTGACTTGTTGACTTAGCAATTGATGAAGAAGTGGAGACCTCCCCTTGTCCGGTAGCGGCTGAATAAAGAAAGTCAGACAAAGAGCTGGTAACTGCAGGTGTAAAAGCAAGCTGATTGGCCATCACAAACCCAAGATTGACTGTGATAATAGTAATAGTCTTTTGGTCATAATCATTCAAATAAGTCATCACGTATTCATTTATTTCAACTCTGATTGAAGATCACTTGAAGTCAATCACATAAACCCATTAAAGAAATTATCTTTGCCGAACAGTTCACGTTACCAACTATGATTGTTCAATTTTTCTCCACGCCATTCATCTATTCATTTACATATCAACATAAATTTCCTTTGCGACTTCTTTTTTTTGGTTAGATATAGCAGAAACAAAAGCGAATAGGGGGCTCTATCTCATGGTACAATGAGTTATTAAGGTTTCAAGACATTAACAACTCCTATAAACCTCTGTACTGATCACGTCACACTTTGTTTACTTGCGCACTTTTCTATGGGGATACAAAACTGTCGTCCCAACCAGGCTCCCTTAAGAAAGCACACTTGTAAACAAAGTGTGACGTCATCAGTACACAGGCTTATTGTGCCACCATACGTGCATCCCAAACAGGCATATATTTGTACCAAACAACTTTGCCTCTCCACCAGAACTGGCAATGTCCTTCATGTCTATTTGTCATATACTTTCCTTCCAAAAAAATAATACATTTGACATTTGATTACAGATATCAAAATGCTTATCCTCACTAACAAGATGATACCTGCACTCTTGACTTGACCTGAACCATCAACGGTAGGCTTGTTGCTATCATCAACTCCGTTGATAGTTTCTATGGCTCCAGTTCCTTGAGGGGAATCTAACATCAGAAGCATGAATTAACATGTCCTTAAAACAGGCGCTCACAAAATGAAATACAGGTATGCTCAATATCATCTCCAGTTGACCATTACAAACAGTTCAGTCGCATCTTCCATAGACGACCACGCGCGTGTACTTGTAGTGGCATGAACACGACGCGCTCTACTCCATAGCGATTCTACACAAAGCAAAGAAAAAGACGGCCTCACGGCTGTTTCCAAGACTTTCAGATTAATGCACACCAAGTTTAAACTAGAAGATATATTACTTAAACATTCTGGAGGAAAAGTTTTACAAAAAGAACAACTAAACATCCGTACCTGGTACATTTCCCTACTTGTGACAACACGCACATTTTGACTAACAGCAGAATGAGCAACGGAGATTTGCACGTAATTGACAGTGTGACCGACGGGCTACCGCAGTGTGCGTACTGCACTGAAAGTTCCCGGATTCATGACGCGCAGTTACTTCAAGCAATAAATGCACACTTGGCACTGTAAAGAGGATTTTGTAAGCTTCATTTTTATCGGTCATTCAATGCAGTTGGTAAAACTAAGACCCCGTACCAAGGACCAAACAAATTTGTCTACTCAACAGTCCTTTGGCCGCCATAAAATACGGCGAATATCATTTTGCTACGCTCCACCACTGTGTTGTTACAAAAGCAACAACTCAACGCGCACGCGCCTGCGCGATCAGGCGATGATAGACTTGTACTGACACACAAGGCGTATACACACATGCAAGGGATAAACGCAATTGCTGCGACAAAGAACGTTCCACACGCACTTCATGTAATCAATAACTGACTTAATAAAGTTTAATACTGCTGTTCATGTTGCGACTCGCCGTGTACAAACTGTTTGTAATGCATCTGTGCTTGGAAAGCTTTTCCTTTCTATGAAGATAAAAAACTAGTTAAATTTATAACAAACAAAACTAAAGAAGATGAAACCAGGCCATCACTGAAAAAATCAAGGGGTGAGGTGGGGGTACTTGCTCCTCCCTTCCCTTTAAAAAAAGGTCATAAATTGACCCTAAGCAATGAGGCTATAGCTACCACTCACCTGTTGCAACTGTTACACAGTTGGACATTTTCTAAAATTTTCCTTTCGAGGAATTTGCATGCCCATCATTTTCAGCAACATTTTTTTATGTCAAATCGGTTAAGTTATCAGTACCTGAAGCTTGAGTGGAAGGAATCGGCGAGGGACTTTGACTTGTTGACTTGGCATTTGGTGAAGATGTGGCAAAGTCCCCTTGTCCGGTAGCGGCTAAATAAATAAAGTCAGACAAAAAGCTTGTCACTACAGGTGTATTGGCCATCATAAACCCAAGTTGACTGACATACTAGCAATAATCTTCTTATTATTCCCTCTACTCCAAATAAGTCATCTCTACAGGGTGTATCAAAAAAGTATACCCATCATTAAACGTAAATTGACCGAACATTTCAAAAAGAGGCAACTCAGTACAAGGAAAAAGGCCAGAATGTCCTCAATCCAATGGTATTAATTTCATTATGTCATTGTCATGGATGACTGGTCAATCATGGCCTCTAAAAAAGCGGTCAAAATCAGCATTGTGACAAGCTTTTCTGCGTGGCAAAGGTCAGACAGATGTTATTCTTTTGCTGTTACTTAAGAATTTATGGAAGGACAGGCATACCTAATGTAGGTAAATCTGGATATGATCAATGACAATGGTACAACAGAAGAGGCTGTTATCTTCCCAAGAAAGTGACGTGGAACTTTCAGATGGGTGTGGTGGGCGCATGATGGGAGCCCACACCACACAGACTTAATGTTGCTGTTGGCAAAGCTTTTGGTGTCTGGGTGATTTCAGTATTCCACTGACTTAAATGGGCCCAAGATTACCACATCTCACCCCTTGCGACTTTTTCTAGTTGGGTCACTTACATGTAAAAAAAACCAAGGTTTTCACAACAGGTTGAGGGCACATGATTATTAAATTATTTCCCCAACAGTCCCATTATTCTATTAATTCATAAACAGACTTCAAAAGTTCTATAAGCTTTTTTGGTGTTTTTTTTATGTGGCAGATGCAATAATAAGGGGCTCTATTTGGGTACATACACAAATAAATTACAAGGCTTAACCACTATAAATAGCAACCTGCGCCCTTCTATTGTGTCTTCCATATATTGAATTGGCTTAAACTTGTACCAAAGAAAGTATACCACAACCCCCACCCCTCCCCCACCACAAAAATACATTTGAAGTGATATCAAATTACTTTCATCTTTTTTTCACACGAACCACAAAGGGACACCGACTAGGTGAATTATAATGATTGAAAAGTTGAACACAGTAATTGACAGGTCTGTATGGTGACTTTGGGCGTGATCCCTGGCTACATGGCATGTACAAGTTTATGGCTTCTGACTAGCGCCCCTTGAACAAAGATATTGACTAATTGGGGAACCGCCAACATAGGGTTGGATAGCTCAGTTGGTACAGGACCGGAACGGTTATCCGGAGGTCGCAGGTTTAAGCCCCACTCCAGTCAACTTCTTTGTTCAACTTTTCAATTGTTATTCACCTAGTCAGTTTCCCTTTGTGGGTCATTTGATGATTTGTAATAAAAAGCTGTATCCTCTCTGAGAGATCTCTGTTTGCTATTTCCCAGGTCTGCAGGTTCAAGCCCCGCTCCAGATTATTTTTTTTGTTCAAATATTCAATAAATTATACTTTCATATTGCTGAAAAAGATTATATTTACCTGCTGCATCTGGTGGTGAACTGTAGTGGCTACCGCTGACTGTGCCAATGTTTCCAATTCCTTGAGGGGAAGCAAAAATTGGAAGCATTAATTGAAATATCCTGAATAGGATTGACAACATTTTCATCTCAAGTTGTCGTCAGTGCTTGGAAAACTGTAACTGATAATGAAGATAAATAAATATGAAAAATCTGGCCGTTCAAATGGGAAGTAGAAACCAGGCCATGACTTATAAAAAAAAATTGGGATGAGGTAGGTGGTTTGGGAAGTGGGGGTGATTGCCCCTTTCCTCCATCATCCAAGGATTGTTACAAAATTATGATTTAAACACAAAAACTAATTAAAAAAATCAGGTAATTTTTAAAAATTCCACTCAGATTCTTTTAATTTCAATCATTTTTTAAACATTGTTTTCATTTTTGCCTTGGTGTGAGATATCAAAAATGTTATATTCCTGATGTTTCAACAGTGAACACCCATCTGTGAAACTCTGGTTTATTTTGCATTGCATCTTTACCTTTTATAACGACCAAAGATTTTTGGGTTTTAGAAATGATCTGTTCCTAAAAAGAGATAAATTAATTGTCACGATAACTTCACTTAATTGAGGGATTTATGAAGTTATGGAACACTGAACATGAGTAAAGGACCCACTATGGAAGACATTGGGTTGTCATGTGTTCTGTTCAACAACGAAGTTTGCTGAGTGAACATGCCACTACCTTGTAATTAATGATGTACTGACTGGACACTACTTCTTTAAGCCCTCAGTGTCAGATTTGAACCGACACTTTCCCCGGTAATTGTCATTTTGAGCAAGAAAAGTGTTATTTTGACCTGGAAGTGTGTCAGGTCCAATCTGACCCAAATTCCGGGTTGAATCTGACCCAGGACTTATAAGAGTGTGAGTTTGACTTTGATGACAAACCACTGTGTCATTATGTAGAAGGTGAACAGATTTGACCTGACATTATTCATAGACAACTGTCAATTTGAAATACAAAATAAACTAGGCATGCAATGCGCAAAGACACATATTTCAATTTATGCAAGTATCGTCTTTCTTTAATTCCTCTTTACAATACGCACGCAATGAGCAAAGACATGTATTTACCGTTCTGAAATCTGGCAACATCTGCTCTTCCAATTTTCTCCAATGCTGTGCACAACCTGTACCACTGCTGTTCAACACTGGTAGATTGGGCCTGTTTCCATGTTACAAGCATTTCCAGACCTTGCCTTGTGATGTTGCTTTGGTAATTTCTCTCAATAGTCTGAACCTGTACACTCTCAAAGCCCAGCACCAATGCCAGTTTTGTCCAATCACAACCAAGCCTTGTAGCCACCTCTTGTAGAGTTTTGTCATCTAAACGTGGTTGTTGGTCTGGTGCCTGACTATGCTGAGGTTTGGGTGTATCCATGAGTGCATGCACTCCTATTCAGATCAAAACAAGAAACATGTATTGCTTTGTGAAACGGATTAAATTGTCTTCCAAAAAAGTTCCAAGACGTATGAAATATTGTTTATCAAAAAAATTGGCAAAAAAAAAAAATAATTTCCCTACCTACCTACCTACCTACCTACCTACCTACCTACCCTATTTTCGAATGCCATGTAATCGGAAGCAGAACTATTTTTTTGGGCCCAATCAATACACTCCAAATAAGCCATATCTGGTTCCCTAAGCTGAATTCAATCACAAATTTTAGATTAAAAAAAAAATGATTTTGGCCTGCAACTCATTTGCAAATCATTATTATTCAGTCTGTTTCCCAACAGCCCATTAAACCATTCATTCATGACTTTGTATAAATGCAAATATAGTGTGCAATTTCACTAAAGCTTTACATAAGTCTTTTTTTATAAACATGTATGGCAGAAACACATTGTCGGTCGCACCACGAACCGGCGTATCTCGATTTTTTGCCAAATTGAGTTTTTGTCATTAACTTTATTATTTCATCAAAGTGCTCATTCTCAGAAAATTTTTATTCCGATCGGAGTTCTAATTAACTAAGAACACTAATTAGACTGTGTGGCGTATCTCTAAAAAATGAAAAATGCTGCACCACGAAGTGGCGTATCCCGATACGCCACTTTACACGCTAATTCCCATAGAGCTATGACGTCACAAAGGCGCGTTGACATGAAAAATTGGAATTTAGCGTTTCACGAACCGACGTATCTCCGTATCTGGCACACAGCCACTATTACGCGCGTTGTATGACATACGATAAACATGATAAAAATCTGTTTCACGAAGTGACGAATAACTTTGGAACTGAATTTCTCAAAAACTAAGCAACTCAGATGCACACGGATTGCATACAATAAAGTTCAATCTATAATTTAATAGCAAAAACGAAACAGTTTGAATTCTTACACAGAGAATATATATGGAATGAGCCTACAAATTAATGACCAACTTTAAATCGGTTTTTCTCGAAACACAAAAAAATGCGATACGTCGGTTCGTGGTGCAGCCGACGACATGAGGGGGTCCTATTGTAGGGCAGTATACAGTCGGCAGCATGGCTGTCGTCGCAGTAAATAAAATCATAGGCAAGGAACACAAAATAAAGTAATAAATGCTAAGTTTGCTTTCAATAACACAACATTTTAAATAACGGCTATAGTTTCACAGGAAAAAGACACACACTTGAAACCAAATATGTAGTGGAATAACATGTACTGTATGTCAAAATCCACGGAGCACAGACCTCACAAGGTGCCACCGTTATTTCTTTCCATGTAATTTCAGAGATGTTTTTCATCGAATTTTTCCGGGAGCTGGTTCTGACTTGGAACCGGTTCTTTTTAGTGAACCGGAACCTGCTCCAGAAATTTTGCAACCGCCCACACCTATTGGGAGCTTAAAACAACTAACCTGAGGAAGTTTTAGCTCTGTGAATGCTGTATATTCCCAAGAAACAATATTCTAGGATCTCAGTTTCAATTCAAAAGTTGTTGAGTCATGTTTTTAATTGCGCCTGAAATCAACATCTGGGACATGTTTTCATTCAGCTGATTGCAGCTACGCGATGTCACGTGATGTCACGCGATGAACTAACGAATAATAGCAATCACGCGTATGTTTGCGTTTAGATAAATGCTTGTGTGCACCCATTCATGGATTTGCCGAATTACGAACCAACTACTAACAAAATTTCCAAAAATGTGTCAATTGACGCACCTTTCGAAATTGCCTTCTTTTATTATTTTCTTCAAAATGACAGCATGCCAGAAAGAATAATTTCACAGGGAGTTTAGTGTTATTACTATCTTTAGAGCAAGTAGGATTTTCAACAAAATTTGTCAATTACTTTTTGAATAGCTGCAAATGATCTACTCTAAGTTCACAGTGTTCTAAGATTGGCTATAATTCTTTATTCGTAAATACCTAAGACAGTTTACCAATTGGTGGAGAGCCCATCACATGGTCGGTTTTAAGCACTTGATAAAGACTGGCTAGCTGGTCCTAAACACTTTTCCAGTGTCGCATGAAATTTGGACTCCTATGAAATCCGATGTCTTTTACCATAAAAAAAAAATTCACAATCCTCATGTAGGCATGCGCAATACTACCAGTGAGTCAGTGGTAATAGTCCTAAATTCACAATACACCGGCACAGCTGCGTTCTGCGCCACATTGTGCAGTACACACACGCCAATCTCCATAAGGAGTTGTTTACGTCTTTTAGCAAGATGGACACTACCATATGGTTAGAGGGGTGTTTCGAAAAACATGAGGTAAGCTTGTTGAACAAAATCTTTGGAAATTTATAATTTTTGACTTATGATTTTGGACCAAGTTTTTTTATTTGTTTGACCCAAAAGGTATTTATGAAAGGAAAAAACTATGTGCTTGGCCGGTATTAAACACTATGTTTAAGACCGGTTGGAGTCTGGATACGGGTAACTACTCAGCTTGGGTAATTATCAGCATCCAGACCCCAACAAGTCCTAAACAGAGTGTTTAAAACCGGCCAAGCACACATTTATTCCCTTTTTAAAGTTATCAGTACCTGAAGCTTGTGTGGAAGGAATCTGTGAGGGACTTGGACTGGTTGGCTTGGATTTCGGTGAAGACGTGGCAATGTCCTCTTTTCTGGTAGATGCTGAATAAATAAAGTCGCACAAAAAACTGGTACATGTAATAATCAGCTCGGGTAATTATCAGCAACCAGACTCCAACTGGTCCTATACAGAGTGTTTAACACTGGCAAAGTACACATTTATTCCGTTATTAACCAGTTCACGCCGGATGACGTGGTATACACGCAAAGGTTTTGTGGTTTAATATTCAGAACGGATGATGGATAAACACAGAGTGAGCAAGGCCGGAAAATATCGGTCAGTGACCCCCTCGCAGCGAGCGAGGCTGGAGATATGAGTGTGCTGCCCGAGGGTGATGGCTTCAACCCGCCTGGCTTGAGGTCGAGTAAAAAGAAGATCCCGCGCCTCCTTCCGTTCTTGTCAAAATAATCCGGCGTGAACTGGTTAAAGTTATCAGTACCTGAAGCTTTTGTGGAAGGTATCTTTGAGGGACTTTGACTTGTTGGCTTGGCATTTTTTGAAGAAGTGGCAACGTCCCCTTGTCTGGCAGCGGCTGAATAAAGAAAGTCAGACAAAAAGCTGGTAACTGCAGGTGTAAAAACAACTTGCTTGGCCATCATAAACCCAAGATTGACTGTGAAAAAGCAAAAATTCCCTTCTTGTAATCCATATACTCCAAATAAGTCCTCTCTGCAGGGTGTCTCAAAAAAGGAAACCCATCTTCAAATGTAAATTATCATAAATGTACCAACTACTTCCGAAAGAGAACTGTAAGGAAAAAGGCTATGATTGACTTAATCTTATGCTAGTAAATTCATTACGTCATTGTCATGGATGACTGATCAAACATTGCCTCTATGAAAGAGGTTGAAATCAGGACTACTTTCTACCTGGGTGGCAAAGGTCAGACACATGTTATTCTTTTACTGTAAGGATTAGGAATGGCCTGCCTATGCAGGCATATCTGCATGATCGACGACTTCACTTTACCACACATAAAGCTGATTTTTTGCAAGACAGTAACATGGAGCTTTCAGGTGGGTAAGGTGCTATCAGGACAGAGCCCTGCTACACAGACTTGAAGGGGCTGTCCATGTACGACTGAAAGGGGAAGTTGGGGGGGGGGGGTGGTAAGCCAATGCGTGTACATACCCCATACACGTACACAGAGCAATAATTTGCCTTCAGCCCCACTAATTAGATTTATTTTATACTAGTGCCACCACTGCCAATGTCTGCAGACTACAGGCCATCAAACTTCAAAGATTGCAACATACTCTTGTAACCCTCTGTAATGTACATGTACATATATGTACAGCCGGAAACGTACAGTGTACATGCATCTTTTTCATATCAATTCAATGTGTATGGGGGGGGGGGGGGGTCGGAAACACTGTGTATGCCATGCATACAAGGATCTAATGTTGCTGTGAGGCATCGTTTAGGAGAGATTTTGGTGATAGGGTGATTTCTTTATTCACCCATTTGGATGGCTGCAAGTTCACTCTGCTAAGACCAAGGAATATGATAAGAAGTGCTGTCAGAGACATGAGGAGATGATGTGAGCTGTGTATTAACAGAAATGACAGTCATGTTGAGGGCTCATACAGCACCATAACATTATTCTGTAACTACAACAAAAATGAAATAAAAGATCGAGTGGTTAGAAGGATACCTGCACTCTTGACTTGCTCTGAAGCATCAACGGTAGCCTCGTTGCTATCATCGACTCCAAGGTTGGTTTCTATGGCTCCAGTTCCTTGAGGGGAATCTTAAATCAGAATCACAACTAAATAAGGGTTTTTAGAGTGGCTCATGCATATTTAAATTTATGCAAATAGAGGGGGAAGTTTGCAGAACGATTGGCTGAATCAGCATCATCAGTCTACATTTACCTACCGCTTCGGTATCCTTTCACTGGCGGATTGAGTGGGGGAGGGCACGGATACGGACCTTGCCTACCCACTGGCATGTTGTTGCTAGGCATTTGTGTATCCATGGTGACAGTGCACATATTAAAGGACTGCCGATGGGTGGGGGAATACCCGGGGAGAAATATGTGGGAACATGTTAGACAAGGGAACTTCTTCAAACCACCAAAAATTAACCAATCAATTCCCACGCCTTTTTCCAGAGCACATTGCTCGTCCCGCAATCTAGCAGTTTCATCAAGCGCCGGGCGTTACCGACGAGAGAATGTACGACAATATACGGCGGACAATGGAACTTCTCAAAACCAAAAAGGGCAGCTTCTTTTGAGGTTTTGCATATACTTCCCCTACACAAAAATAATACATTTGACATTTGATTAAAGATTTCAAAATGCCTATCCTCACTAACAGGATTATACCTGCACTCTTGACTTGACCTAAACCATCAACGGTAGGCTTGTTGCTATCATCGACTCCATGGTTGCTTTCTGTAGCTCCAGTTCCTTGACTGGAATCTAAAGTCAGAAGCATGAATAAAAATATCTTAAAACAGGTGCTGACAAAATGACATATGTTCAATTTCATCTTTAGTTGACATCTATGCTTATCAGCACTACTGATTGGAACAATTTACGTTGGTATGAAGACCAAATTTTTTTTCTCAAGAATTCATACTGTACAAAACTGACAAAGATGAAACCAAGCCATCACTCCACAAATCAAGGGGTGAGGTGGAAGTCCTTGCTTAAACCGAAGTGGATGGAAATTCCTTGATAAATAACTTCCAGAAAATGTCCACCTGTGAAATTATTGCAACAGGTGAGTCTTCGCTATGTAGATCCGTTGTTCAGGGTCAATTTATGACCTTTTTAAGTTTGTTGCCACTGTGTCAAATTGGTTAAGTTAAAGTCTAGCATTGGCTATAATTGGTTAAGTTATCAATACCTGAAGCTTGTGTGGAAGGAATCAGTGAGGGACTTGGATTAGTTGGCTTGGTACTTGGTGATGATGTGGCAACGTCCCCTTGTCCGGTAGCGGCTGAATAAATAAAGTCAGACAACTAGACTTATGTTTGTGGACAAACACAGGGCTGTTTCGGTATTTTTGTGTGACATGTGACATGTAACGTTTCAAGTATAAGTTCCATCCAGGAAGGATGTGTAGTTCTGTTGATAATAACTGGTGGGTATAATATATGATTACATTCTCATAGGGCTTTGAATTTTGATGTTACATGTGATGTGATGACCTCATGAAGACATCACATCAATTTTCATCTATAACTATATTTTTGTTTGTGAATAACAACTTAGCCATAGCATATATCGTTGAAAGCAAGTTCACATCTTTCCTCAATTTCAAATTACAAGGCACTTCCGGTTTCAACCAGAAGGAAGGGTCACATGATTTGCACATCATATAAAAAATTAAGACCCTGGATTATTCTATAGATTCCTGCAATCGTTAAGTTCAGGTCTCTCACAGTCGATTTTATATTGATTTTCAAAGATCTATTAATCTTTAACGTGACGTCACGTGACCCATGATGACATCATCGCGACGTCGCTTCAATTTTCATCTATAACACATCCCGGTCTAGGCACATGCCAACTTTCAACCCCATCGGACCTGTATAGTTCAGGAGATATGGGCCTTCAAAATATGTTTATTTTATATGATGTCAAATGTCACGTGATGACGTCATCATGACGTCAAGTGACTTTTTATCTATAAAACATCCCGGTCTAGGTACATATCAACTTTCAACCCAATGGGACCTGTAATTCTGGAGATATATCCAAATCTGTCAGATCTAGCCGAATTCTGCTAGAAAATGGTCACGACAGAAAAATTGCATATAATGTCACGTCACGTGACTCATGATGACGTCAATGTTCAGCACACAACTTCAGGTGCTGGTCCAAGTGTGTGCCAAGTATAAAGACAATCGCATTGATTTAAGTGCCCAAAGTGCCAGGGACAAAAAAACGTGCACAAATGCTATTTTAAAAATAAAGTAAAAAAAAAAAATCTTCACGAAAACAAAGGCTGTTTCGGCAAAAGTGCAGAAACAGCCAAAAGCTGGTAACTGCAGGTGTAAAAACAACTTGCTTGGCCGTCATAAACCCAAGTTGACTGAGATAAAAGCAAAAATTCCTTCTTATCATCCTATACTCCAAATAAGTCTTCTCTGCAGGGTAACTCAAAAAAGGAAACCCATTTTCAAATGTAAATTATCAGAAATGTACCAACTACTTCCGAAAGAGACAACTGTAAGGAAAAAGGCTATGATTTCCTTCAGGCCTGGTCTGCGCGCGCGTCGCCATAGCCATGCTACATTATAGACACGTTGCTCAGGGTAAATGTATGACCTTTAAAGTTTTGTTGCCACCGTGTCAAACTGGTTAAAGTTAACAGTAGTCTAGCATTGGCTATAATTGTTTAAGTTATCAGTACCTGAAGCTTGTGTGGAAGGAATTTGTGAGGGACTTCGACTTGTTGACTTGGCATTTGATGATGTGGCAATGTGTCCTTGTCTGGTAGCGGCTGAATAAATAAAAGTCAGACAAAAAGCTGGTAACTGCAGGTGTAAAAATACTGCAAGTGAGACTTGCGCAATCCCCCTGGCATGCTGGCAGTTTTTTTTTATAAAGTCAGTGTCCCTCATCAAAATAGAAGATTTTTACTGACCTTGACCTTTAATCTGTCGGCCCCAAAATCAATAGGCTTGATAAGACTATCAAGAGCAACCCACGAACCAAATTTATTTTAAGCATATTCATGCTAACCATATTTCCATTGTTTTAGCAATATTGACATTGACCTTTGACTAATTCGCCCCAAAAGCAACAGGCTTCTTAAGACTATCAAGAACAACCCACAAACCAAATTTCAAGTTCCTACGTGAGTATTTCACAAGTTACCGCGTTGACAAGATTTCTTTTGTTTTAGCAATAGTAGTGACCTTGACCTTTGACCTTTCGGCCCCAAAATCAATAGGCTTGTTAAGACTACCAAGATCAATCCACAAACCAAATTTAAAGTTCTTAAGTAAACAAACACACTCTTGTTTTACTATACTCCTGAGGACAATGCTTTGTGCTTTCCTTCGTCCCTGTAACACTCTCCCACAGACTAAGCACACAAACTTACTACAGAGGACTGTTTTGAACAAAAGACCCAACTCCCGAGGACTGAAAGGATCTGTTGTTCTCCCTTTGTGTGTCGGTCCTTGGGGGTTATGTAGAGCAAGTGCACCCATACGCACACACCTACACACAGAAGGAATACTCTATCACAATATTCCCCTCCCCCCGTTTAGTTAAAACAGGAGACACATGCAACATAAAGTGAAAAAGCACTTCTGAAAATATAAATATTACACGAATGTATAACTGCATGTATCGTCTTACTTCCAGTTTGACGACGCTCCAGCAATATGTAGCCAACCAATGATATTAATCCTGCCAGGCACACCACCACTGGATATGGATTAAATGATGAATTTGATTTAATAAAAAACAAAACTGATCATTTTCAAATTTTCCCTACAACAACTTCCGATTTGTTGACATTTAATTTCTAGTTGTCCAAAGAATGTTTATCGACAATTAATTGGCAAACTTTTGACAGATGGATTTCAAAATCACAAAAGTTTTGTGGCTGAGAATAAAAATAAAGTGAAAACATGATTGGTAATTTGGTTTAAGAGTTATGAATAATAGAAGATGATTTTTTTGACTAAAATCGCATGTAATTTGATCTGTGATGACGTCATCATTACATCACGGTAAGGCCAAAAAAAAAAATAAGTCGGTCTCTGGTCAGCGCGGGCGTCGATTTTAATTATACGCCTCAATCTTCTTTTTTTTCAAAATGTTCCGCGGTAGCTCCAAATTTCTTTTACCAAAGAGCACCAAGGAATGGGAAATTGCACCAAGGCAAATGATCGAAAGCACCAAGACCAATTATGGAGGACACCAATGTACATGAGGACACCAAAAAAAGCAAAATATTACCCCACCTTGTCTGTACAATTCAAACTTGAAGAAAAAGAAAAAAGCAAAAAAACCAAAAAAAGCCACGTGGCCGTGTCAATTCCGGAACTTTGGTCTGACCAGAGACCGAATATTTTTTTTTTGGCCTAATAATGCACACCTCAGGATCAGGGTTTACGTTTGTTCCAAGTTTCATATTCCTACTGTGTACCATTTAGAAGAATGCTCGTGAAGAATAACATAGTACAGAAAAAACACAGAGATGAAACTGGCATATGGCAAACAAATCGGAAAATAGGCCGAACTAAAATATGTGTCCGAAATTTGGGCCGCGCTGCAGTTACACACCCACCCACACACACACACAGACTTGTTTCACATACCTAGTGTGGACTTTCCTTTCTTTTCGTGTAGTTAAGGAACACCAGTGGAAAAACTCATTTTTCTCAAACTGTGAAAACTCTTACAACCCAATTTTTTTTCAATGATTCCCTTTAGTGTTTCTCTTCATTCTGCTACAGATAAACCTAACCCAAAAATGCCTCTAAACCTGTTTTCCAGAAATGGGGAAACACTGTGTGGACGTGGGCAAGTCCACACTTCGTCGCTGCTACCTACATTATGTGGACGTCTTTTGTTCGGAAGTCCACACTGCGTATGTAAGACAAGCTCACGCACACACACACACGCACACACACCCAGTCGTTTTTTTGCTATGCTTCCGAGGATTGGCTTTGTGTTTTCCTTTGTCCCTGTAATATAACACTCTCCCATAGACTAAGCACACAAACCTGCGTTCGAGGACAATAGGCACCTTCCTTCGAGGATCAATGGCCCCTTTGTGCTCCTTTTGTTGTCTGTCCTCAGGCGTAATGCCATGCAGGAACACATGAACATGTACATGCATGTACAATGCATGTACAATACACTTCATGCCCAATTTCCGGACACCAACTCATGCTTTATTTTCGATTCAAACAAAAATGTGGTCAGTGTTTTCATTGCATAAAACGCCTGAATTATGATTAGAGTAATGGAGTCATCAACAAAGAAGTTTACTTTTACTTGAGAAAGTTCGAGGAAAAAGTCCGAAAGACAAGGGCACCATTCACAGTGCTTCAATCATGTCCATGATTCAACACGACTCCAATTGCATTCATACGTCAGGAAAAATCAGGCATTACCGTCTTTCTCTTCCAACAAATGCAATAGTGAAATGTTTCGCTAATGCTCTCTTCGCTATCCTCCAGATAATCATCATGATTTTTAAAGCATTGTGTATAACTAAATCTGAAACCACCGAAAACCGCACAACATAATGATTTTATCCACTGGGTCTTTCACGAGGTTACCCGTTCCCGACCGGCCATGTTTGCGCTTGCAGACGGTGCGGTACGTAGGCTGGCACGCACGTGCAACACAGTGATTTGTCCATGTTACCTGTCAATGTTTAACCTTTTGTCCAGCCGAAAAGGCTCCAATCAGTGTTATGGCCTATGTTTCTACCACTGATCGAACACTCCAATAGCGACTGGTGAAAGAGATTAAAACTACGTTCGCGATGATTTTAACATGCCATTTCCATCGTCTTTTCATCGACTTTTCTTCGAAATTATGATTGAAATAAAATGACATTTGGTGAAAAAATTGTTACACAAAATCAAATTTTGTGGGACATATTGTAAGAAAATCGGAAAAATTTCGTTGGAAAATTCAAAAAGTCGGATTTCCGATTAAAATTTGAAAAGTTTCATCTCTGAAAACATAACCAATCAAACTGTACAAAAACAAAGAGTGCCAGGGACCACCCCATCATCAAACATTTTCAAAATGGTGATATGGGATATGACGTTTTGAACAGCCTCGAGGCACATAGCACCCAAGGCGAAACGTCATATTCCACATCACACCAGTCAACAATTGTTAACGACACTCACCCATTGCAGCTGAGAGAGTGGGTATCATGGTAGGTGCTTCAGATCACACGACGACAAATGGAAATCCTGTTTGTCACTGATTAATAAAAAGCGGTGCCACATTTTCAGTGTGATTTAATGGTAGGTAAATAACTTGTGAATACTTTTAACAGATTTTTCAACACATCCATAGACAAGGCAAAGCAAGGCAAGCTTATAGAAATGCTGGTCCCAGAGTGCACAAAATTCTATGAAATTAATTCAGAATGGCTAAACGTACACAGAATAGGTTGTTGTGGTAACGTGACTGAAATGAAAAAAACCTATTCCTGATGTTCACATGGCGATTTAATATTTGGGCTAAAGTTGTACCATGGAAGTAGAAACTGTGCCAGACTAATGCACATAGGCCTATGTGGTGTAGATGCCGCATAACATGAATAAACAAGCCTCATCAAGCTGCTCCATCTTCACAGGGTTCCCCAACATTTAGTATAATCCATGAAAGCAAAAGAAGTCACAAAATATACTCAAGGAATGAACCATGGTTGTAGTCAAACTTTCAGTAAAGAGCGGGTTGACAAGACAACACTATACTGAAGCATTAACTGCACTAGCTGCTTTCGCGCCCAAACAATCTCGTGACCACTTGACGGAACTACATTATGCAAATTAATCTACGAATCACTTCGACATTCTGTAACATGCAAGCAGAATGCACCAAAACACATGCACTTTCAATATTTGTTTAACTAGTCCCAATCAAATCTGTAAACAAATTTATCATAGTATATCTTATTACAAAAACTAAAAAGCTGTTTGTTTAAAATCCTGGCAAATCGCGCATCGATATATAAAAATTACCTTTGTCCCAATAGGCCTATACAAATATATCTGGGTTTTCCCACAGTGTTCTGAAGTCCAAACTGAAATGTTTTGTTTTGGTCTGCCGCGATGCAAAGACCAAAGGTTTGAGTCAGTGTACTATGGGGTGGCTATCCTTATCAGTGACGCGATTTCAAGTGTTTTTGAGTGCTATTCTAAGCTCAGAATCTATTCATTAATTCATCTTTGACCCTTTAGTCAACACGTAGGTGTATAAACATGTAGGCCCACATGGCTTATTGGTATAATACAACATACAATACGGCAATGGCAGATTGAATTGTTATTTATCTAGTGATATTTTAAACACCAGCATTATGGAGAATACTTCTAATTATTAAAAGACTGCTGGAACATTTATTTTGAATTAGGCCTACTTTCTAAAACGCCGGGGCACTAGTGTTTGGAAAAATTCTACAAAGGCATTCATTTTGTCACTTAGCAGGAACCATTTTAATGCCGCACCTCCTCAATTTTTTTTTACCAAAGAGCACCAAGGAATTGGAAATTGCACCAAGGCAAATGATCGAGGGCACCAAGGCAAATTATGGAGGACACCAATGTACATGAGGACACCAAAAAAGCAAAATAGTACCCCACCTTGTCTGTACAATCCAATCTTGAAAAAAAAAAAGCAAAAAAAAAAAAAAAAAAAAAAAAAGCCGCGTCGCCGCATCAATTCCGGAACTTTGGTCTGACCAGAGACCGAGTATTTTTTTTTTTTTGGGGGGGGCCTTTGACACCACCTTGACCTTCAAGCGTGGATCCAGGGGGAGGGGGGGGGGGTCAAACCCCACCCCCTCCCCAGCTCGGTCAAAAATTCATTTTTTTCATAGAAATTAATGCAAAAAATTCCAAAAAACAAAACAAAAAAATACTAGACTGAACTGGGCAAAATCTTGGTTTAATTTTTTTCTAAAAAGATTCCCATGCATGTTTTTGGTTTTGAGTCAGGGTAGTGGAAGTATGCAGGTTTTTTTTTTTTTTTTTTACCACCCTGAATAATGAAAAGTTTTGGACATTAACTCCTTGTAACATAGCCCCATAAATGTGGCCTATTTACTGGACTGCCTCCGTAAACATAGGCCACACGTCCACATGTACAAAAATCGTGTCGACTTTGCCAAATTTTGATTTTCACATTTAGGCTTAGTTTGTAGGATTTTTTTGCTTTAGAAGCATACTTACCCACTTTATAGGCTAGTCAGAAAGTGCTGCCTTTTTCAGATGTCTAATTTTTGTGAAATTTCATGTTGAAATTTTGATACGCAAACGTGTAAAAATGAATCTGGAAATTTCACGAAAAATATACATCTGAAAAAGGCAGCACTTTCTGATTAGCCTATAAAGAGGGTGAGTATGCTTCTAAAGCAAAAAAATCCTACAAACTAAGCCTAAATGTGAAAATCAAAATTTGGCAAAGTCGACACGATTTTTGTACATGTGGACGTGTGGCCTATGTTTACGGAGGCAGTCCAGTAAATAGGCCACATTTATGGGGCTACTTGTAACACAGCGTGTAGTGGTACACGCTCAGTGTGTGCGTGTCCCTAATGTTGCGATACCAAAAGCTAGAGGCATATTGCAACGTACAAATCTGGGGTGATCAGAACATGAATCTACGACCATTTTTAGTTTAAAAAAGACATGTTGCGTTGTGCTCCTATTCAATAGTGCACATCCACCAATCAGGAAAGATTCCCATATCTGACCGCCACTTGCCACCCTGTGCACAAACCCTGTGAGACTAGTCTGAACATTTCTAAGTGTTTTCTCAGTCAATACTTCAACATTTTCCCTGCTATTTGACTTTTTAGGAAATATTATCACTTTCTGATGGCTGATAGGTCACTGAAGGGAAAAAAATTAGTGATGGCTAGATATGGGAATCTTTGCTTAATGAATGATCTCTTCATGCAATAATCAGTACTCACAGTTCTACTCTAGTGTTCAATGACTTGGTCACTCTTCCCACGTTTTCAGAAGCTTCATGACCTTGACTTGAGTCTTGACGATGATGCCCAACATCGTCCAGCTTTTCACTTACTGAACTCGGCTAAATTTGTAAAAAATTCCTCCAAATTGAGCAAAGCAGGCATTACTTCCATCATGTGTTGTTGTCACGTCAGATACAGAACATATTTGTATCGCGCGAGGGCAGCATTTCCTTTTTTGTGGTAGCACAAAGTTTACAAATGTTTGAGGGCTACCAATTTTTTTAATGAATCCTTGAAAATGCACCTTTGTGTCTCATATAACCTTATTTTCAATTTTCGTTTTTTGACACTTTCAACTTCAAGGGTAGTTTGGTGCCCTTTTCAGTTGTCCGGAAAAGCATGTTTTTTTAATATTTAAAGAAGTGCACTTTTCAATAAAATTAACCAAAAAGAGATGTCAGATAGTTTTCATACATTTTAAATGTTGATGTTCCTCAGAAAACTTTACTTCATGACCCCTTTAAATATAAATTGACTTCGAGCCTCGTCTTTTGTGTTTTGCTTTTCTTTCACCTTAATTTTTATACTTTTTTTTCAATTTTTAATTTCCTTGGGGCTGGGGGAATGGCGGCAATGAATTTTTATAAATGGAACCAGAATTTAAACCATATGTCTACTCCATTTCGTTATTACTTTCATTAAAAAGGAGAATTTTACAGTTATTATTCTTATTTTTTCATACAGTTTTACTGAGTGACAGCATGGATGAATCGTATTCCTCCATGATTACAGATATAAATGAAAAATAGGCTAACAACAAAATCTGCTCTTGAGTAATTTTTATTCTTACTTTGTAATTTTTACATTACTTTTCACTGATTAAAAGGACTTTGTAAACAAAGTCCAATGTTCAAGTTAATTGCTTCTGCAACACAAAGACTGCATTTAGCATCACAGTTGATTTACATCCAAACAAAATGTCAGCAGATTCTTTGAATATATACATGTATTTCATTTCCTTGTCTTCATTTCCCCCAGATAGGCCTTTTAACGCCAAGTACAGTTGCTTAGGGAATCACGCCCTTCCCCCCCCCCCCCTTCAATGTAAGGTCCGGTCACTTATGCTTGATCTTTTTGCAATTTTTAGACTGATCTTTCCAATCTTGGCACTAAAGTTTAGACATAACACTACAAAATAATTATAAAATCATAAGTCTTAACAAAATTATTTTACAACTTGTCATGAATCGTGGTTAGAGTAATAAAAAACATTTAAGATAATATTTAATTGTGTGTAATAAGATAAAGTTTACAATTAAGTTGTACCATGTAACAGATCTCTAAAGTGAGTTTGTGAAGTTCTAAAAAGAGTTGGCAAAACTCAATGCATTAATGTTCCACATTATACAAAGTCTACAAAAATACAACCTCGTCCCCAGTGCTTACTTTATTTCAAACGTTGTTTCCAATAGTAAACCCTGGATAGGAAACTTCCTTCCTGCATCCTGATTCGATACCGCAATTGGCTAGAAATGGATTTATATCGTGTACTTGGTGTTGTTATTCACAACGTGCAGTACGTGTGTTCGCGATCAATCGTCCACGCCTTCTGGAAAATATTCATTTCCTTTCCAGTTTGTTAATATTAATATGAAATGTGATACTGCATATGTTGTCTCGTTAAGATCGTAACAGTTAAATTAAAATAAAATCATGTTTTCGTAACTCACGCCATGCTCGCGCTGCGACGAATTGATTCTGTTTTTACCCCAGCACCGCATACAAAAACAAACGCAAATGTAACGCACAGGCAGGTACCAGACTACTCCTAATTTGCATACGTGTTCAAAAATCTTGCACATGCAAATGATCCAATACCAGGGTGAGAGCTCTCTCACCCTGGTATTGGATCATTTGCATGTGCAAGATTTTTAGGTAGTGGTAGTGGTGGGCGCGTACTGCTCGACACCCTGGGGACGAGGTTGACAAAAATATATTTCTGAATTTACAAATTATGTACATGTAATGTATATGCCATCAGTGGTTGGAAGAATTCCAAATTCCAAAACTACTCAAAGTACATTCTGTGTTTTAACGTTATACATAAATACAATTATCTGGCCAACAAGTTCAACTTGCGAAGGAAATGGACCAAATCACCCATACAACCTCGGAGTTTGATAAGAAACGAGTACCATACATCTACTAGGTTTTCAAATCAGTGATGTTTTTTGGCACATGCGTACAGATTC